CAAAGAAAAGGGGTGGTGGAGGGGCACCAGGAGCGGGGGTGCCGGGGGCCGCTGGGGCTGCCAAACTGAAAGGTCTGTGTCGTGGCGAGGCCTACTTCTCTGTCGGACTTGCAGGATCCTCTACCAGCCCTCCTGGGGACATGCCGAGGTTTCAGCCTGGCCGTGCCTTCCTGTTGCCCATCTTGGAGGACAGAGGAGTTTGCTCTGCTTGTCCTGGCTCTAACTTCCGAGTATCTCCTGAAATAGACCGTCGGTTTTGTGCTCTTAGAACAGTAGGATCTCTTGAGGCCGCAGCAGGCCTTGTATATTGTGTTTTGGTTTTTCCCCAGTCTTCTTGTGGGGAGGTTTTATAAGAGGACCATGGTGTTCCCAGCATATGTGATGTGTGGTTAGACCGCCTGAGAGTATTAAAGAGGCTCCTGGGGCTAATCTGGCTCATGCTGGGGTCCGGGATAGTTACAGACCAGCAGCTGCTTAAAGGAGGATTTGATTTTCCCTACACAGGAGAGCCTGCAGGATTGGCTTTCGATGCAGATTTGCCTCTGAAACTCTGTAGATTTCTTATTTAGGAGGATTTTCTTGTCTGCCATTCTCCTGAAGTAATTTCTGGGACCATCCTGACAGGTCAGACCTCAGTAACGCATTTTCCGATCCTTCCTACTGCTAGCTGGGAATGCTTTCGGGTGTTTGGAAAGGGTGGACGAAGTAGCCCGAGGTGGCTCTCAGAAGGAGTTCTCAGAAAACCTTCCTCGCACTTCCTCGTGGGCTGCTTTTGTCCTCCTACCCTTCCTGGATGGCCTCTTACCGCCTCGCGCCTCCCAGTTGTCTGACTGGGGGGCTGACCCTCTGATAAGATTGTTGCTGTGGCCGGGGCTTCGCATTGAAAGGAGGGGCCCGCATGTGTGGTCCTAGTCCCTGTGAAGCATCAGAGTAGCCGAAGGGGAGCAGTCTCCCAAGGTGCTGGGGACAAAGGCCACACGGGGCCCAGGATAGAAGGGCCTGCGCTTGGCCGCAGAAGCCTCCCGTGCATTCACTAACCAGTGTTGCTCCCTCTTTGGATTCTAGAGTGTGAGTGGCCTTGAACCTGGGCCCAGTGCTGTGTCCCAGCCAGAGTCTGGGCTGTGCCAGGTGCTGGCAGCTCTCTCGCTGGGAAAACCCTTCCCCCTGTGTGCTGGCACTGGATCCAGCCACTGAGGGAGGGAAGGGACCAGGCACCCTGCGCACGCGTTCCTCATCGCCAGACCAGGTGACTCTCAGAACTGGAGTCAACTACAAATCCAGGTGCCTTACTGTGGCTCTGCCCCGCATGCTGCTGGGAAGAGCTGCATTGTCCTCCCTCCCTCCCCATCTGTGGATGGACATCGTATTGCCTCCTTCCCTGGGTCTCCCTGTGGCTCCTCTAGCCGATTTGTCTCTGCTTACTGAGCTTCAGAGTCACCCCCTCTCTGTGGGACAGTAGCCTCATTGGGAGATTTGCTACTCTTGACATTTAATTATCTAGGATGTGGTTTCCGGAGTTGTCCAGAACTCTGCTCAATAGCGTGTGTCTTGGAAATGTGTCCCAGGGCAGACCACGGTCTTGTGGACTAGTGGACCATCTCTTACATGCAGTGTTCGCCGTTGCTACGGGGAGGGCAGGGGAGGCAGGCATTCTGGCTTGAGCAGTGCTCTGTCCTCTTCCCCATTAGCTTGCCTTGGTCTCCCTGGAGACCGTCTTGAGGCCGTGTGCTCCCTCTCTGCCCAGGAGGACAGTGATATGCCCTTGGGTCCAGGAGGTCTGTCTGGTGTTCTGTACCTGGGAGTCTGGGTTCTTGTGTCTCAGTATTCAAGAAATCTCAAGAAGCATCACTGCTCTGGGGTGTTAACCAGGGTAAGTTTGGAATTCAAGCTTTTGGACCTGACCTGGGGAGAGACTTGGAAGTCCTCCTTTCTCTGAAAGTAGCTGAAGCAGTCAGAAGTTGGATCGGGAGGCCATGTTAGTAAGGAATTGGGCCTGTTGAGAGTAGTTGTCTGGGGATGCTACAGGGGGAAGGGGAAAAGTGACCTGCACGGGAGACCGTGCCTCCTGTTCAGAGCTGGCATCTGAGTGGCAGCTCCTGGAGGGCAGGTCCTGGAGGGACACGTTCCTGGCAGGCCCTCCCAGTGCCACGGGGCCGGGTGCCTGTACCTCTTCTGCCGTCCTGCTCCTGTCCCTCTGCCTTGGAATCTCCAGGAAGAGCATCTCTTTTCCTGTGGAGCCTTTGGGCTGTGATGCCCTTCTTGCTTCTCCAAAGAAGATCCCTGTTGATGTCATTTTGTCCTAAAGAGCAGACAGAAGAAATAACCAGTAAAAGTAGTTGTGGGCTAAAGTAGGCCGTCCTGTCCTTATGTGTTAGCTCAGCGGTACCTTGAGAGAAAGCAGCAATCGGGGGCCTGCAGAACTCCAGGAAGACATCTCCAGCCTTCGGGCCATCTGGTTCTCCAGCAGGGCCAGTGATTTAGGGAAGGTGGGGCTAACCGTAGACTGGTGATTCTTGAAATGGCAGTGACGGGAAATCGTCAACTTTTCCAGTTGAAGTGGAATTGGTTTCTGGGCTGGATTTAATAGGCTGTGTGTAACAGACAAGTTGGGGGAGTCTTGCCTTAGTGTGTCCTGCCATCCCCAGGAGGCTGCCAGGGTACTCTTTTTTTTCTCTGTCAAGTCACTTTGTTTTGGTGGCTCTTGTCACCATGATGGCAGTGAGGTCTGGGGACTGGAGACAGTCTGTCCCCAGAACCACAGCACGGATTCCTTGCCGGGGCCCGAGCATTCTGGATACAGAGGCTGCTGCGGTCCCTGCTCATCGTTTCTTCACATTCCATGTTACAGAACATCTGCGCCCCAAGAAGGGTCTGGTGGAGGCGGATTTAACCCCTTGTTTTACAAAGGATCATGTAAAGTCATTGAAGTTGTGAAAGTCTATTTTTTTCCCCTGTAAATCTATTTTTCACAGAATATAAGAAACGTCAATGACCGGATCTGTCCTCCCTCCTCTTTCCCCTTCACCTAAGATCTTCATTCCAGTTTGTATTGACTTTGTGTCCAGAGTAAACTAGGTGACTTATTTGTACAAAATGTTATTTTGCCACAAGAGATAGTAATAAAAGATTTTCACAGTACGTGCATCTTCTCTTGTCCTCTGGGCCCCGTGGGTTGCTGGGGGGAGCAGTTGTGAGGTGGTGATGGGCTCTGAGTTTCTTTTTCTTTTTTTTTTTTTTTTTGGCTCTGAGTTTCTTTACACGACCTTTCTGTAAATCAGGAGTATAGCTGATTTGTAGGATCATCAGGGAACAGTATTGGGCTCTAGGTTTAATATTGTTGCCTTTTTTTTTTTTTTTTAATTTATTTGACAAAGAGAGACAGAGAAAGTAAGCACAAGCAAGGGGAGCAGCAGGCAGAGGGAGAGGGAGAAGCAGACCTCCTCCGAGCAGGGAGCCCAACGCGGGGTTCCATCCCAGGACTGAGATCATGACCTGAGCCGAAGGTAGACACTTAACCAACTGAGCCACCCAGGCGCCCCTTTTTGCTTTGTTTTGCTGGGGGGGACTTTGAGAAGTATGTAATTTTAACGTTAGGGTTATTGAGGTGTCCATTTACTACTCCCCGGTAGAACTCCCCTGGTTTAAGATACATCGGGACGAGCATGCAGCTTTATTACCCCATCATGGTCATGATCCAGGGCTGTTGTTTCACCCCCCAAAGTTCCCTCAAAGGCCAGTTCCCTTGAAACCATTATCTGGTTTCTGTCTCTACTGGGAAATTGGCATACTTTTAATATAAAACTAACATTGTTGTGTAGGGTGACAATACACTGTTAAAGTAAGTCTGGTTTGGATGGTCTGTGGCAGCGGAAGCAGTCATTGGCTGGTGTCCTTTCCCTGATTCCCCTTCTGCCTTCTCCCTCTTTCAGGGCTCGGGGCAGGGCAGCAGAGAGGTTAGGAAAGCCTTGGAGCATTTGCCAACCACAGCCATCCATTTGGGTCTAAAGTATTGTGGACTTAGAGGCTTTCTTTTAAAATGAGAGCTAACATATTAAGGGCTTTGCTGCATCTTTTTACTGATCTCGGGGAGGGAGAGCAAGGTCTTGGAAGACAAATTTTGGCATGGGTGTCAGTGCTGGGGACAGGTGCCTTGCTGAGCTACAGAGGCATAAAGAAGAGATAGAGGGATGTGTGGGTGCCTGTTAGGGTGGGGAAGTCTGACTCACGCTTGTGCTGAGAGGAGACCCTTGTTAGGGCACAGGAGTTGCCAGTTTCCTGGGGAGGGTGAAGCGGTCTTGACAAGGATGCCAAGGACCAAATGCTTGGGGGCAGTGCCTGGTGCTCCCAAATGGGCTCTACCTCAGAGGTGGGGGGACAGATGGGACTACAGTGGAATGAGGGTGACACTTCCACCCCACCTGCACAACTTCTGGAGAAGAGAGATCCCCCCCATCCCAGGTAACCCAGTTCCCTGGGCCTGAATAGTGAGCATCAGGGCAAGACCTTGTACTTCTCGGAGCTCACAGACTACAGGGAGCAGTCGAGAAGATGTCAGACGCTGGAACAAGTAAGACGCTGAGGTGGAGAATGTGTGGTCAGGGCAGGCCTCAGTGAGAGTGAGTGAGACCTGGATGGAGGGAAGGAGCATTCCAGGTAGAAGAACAGGGATTGGCGCGGTCGCGGAGGCAGGAACAAGCGGGGTGTTGGAGCTGCTTTCTGCGGCTGGAGCAAAGCGAGGGAACGGTGGGCTCGGGGCAAGAGAGGTAGGTGCGGGTTGGTCATATGATCATATTTTAGGTCGCGGAATTGGATTTTAGGAGAGATGGGCCACCGTCCGCGGGTTTTGAGAAAGGAAGGCGGACGGCGGAGACCTAGCGTACTGGGGAGAACGCGGTTTGCCCTCCCGGGAAGGAGGCAGAGCCGGGAGGCGTGGCGGTGGGCCCCGCCCCCGGGGGCTAGGGGGCGTGACGGCCCGCCCCTGCCCCGCCCCCGCAGCCCGGAACCCGTGCGCTCCCGCGGGAGGTCGGCGAGCAGAATCCCCGCGCAGTGTCCGCGTCCATGGCCGCCGCGCTGCTCGCCCGGGCCTGCGGCCCCAGCTGCGGAGGTGAGTGATCTCCGGCTCCGCACAGCCAGGGTGGAGGGGGCGGCGGCGGCCCGGGCCGTCCGAGCGGGAGCGAGTCCCGGCGGTCCGGTTCTCCCCTGCGGCGGCAGCGGCGGCAGGGCGGCAGGGCGGCACCCCTTCCTGGAGCACGCGCGGCCTTTGCCCCACTTGGGCCGCTGCTGGCGCTTGCGCGGCCCGGGTTCCCGCTGCGATCGCGCCCACCGCCCCTCTCTCGCCTAAGCATCCACACTGCCCCCTCACACCCCACCCCGCAAGTTCCCCGCCCTTGGAGGTTCAGGGGCGCCCCTCCTCCCGAGCCAGGCCTGGGACTGAGCCCAGACTCGGTGTCTGTGACCTTGGGCGAGACTCTCGGCCCGTCCGCCTCATTTGGCCCGTGTGTAAAATGGTCCCAGGATGTGTCACTCTTCTCGTGGACTTGTTACAAGGACCAGGCTGTGTAAAACACTCAGCACAGCGCCTGTCAGATGGCGCTCAGAACTGTGAAGGCTCGTTGGTTATTTCCCGCCGCACCTTTCCCGGTTTCTTTCTCTCCCTCTGTAGCAGCAGTGACACACGTGGCCAGGGCTTCCTTTGCCTGCAGGACAACAGTAAGGGGACCCCCGTGGAGAGCTGTCTCTGCCAGGCCCCGTGCTGAGTGCCTCAGTCAGCATCTCTCCCACACCCCCCCCCCCCCCAGGAGCTCAGTGCTGCTGGCTGCCAGGTTTTCTAGGCACAGAGGCTCAGTGAAGTTAAGATCTTGGCCTAAGTGGCAAAGCTGTGGTCTTAGTACCATGGGTGTGAAGATGGGGTGGGAGAGTTGTGGAGCAAGTGTGTTGCAATTCGAGGAAGCACTCAGCTGGTATGGGTTTCTAAATAGCGTGCTTGACATTTTGGACCGATAATTCTTAGTTGTGGGGTCTGCCCTGTACATTGTAGGGTGTTAGGCAATATCCCTGTCCTCTACCCCCTCCACAGGAGCAGCATTCCACCCTTCAGCTGCAACTACCAGAAATGTTTCCAGACATTGCCAGATGTCCTGGGGTGGGGGCCGGTGGGGGGAGCAAAAGCATCCCTGGGGGAGGCCCACCGAGTCGCGGGATGGCCATTATGATGATCATGCAGCAGGGCCTCCTGCGTCCCCCTCCCACTACTACCTGCTCTTCTTGCCGGCAGCTCTGCGTCCTCGGGCCTGCCGTCGGTTACATGCTATCTACCAGTCCGTGGAGCTACCTGAGACGCACCAGATGCTGCGTCAGACCTGCCGGGAATTTGCTGAGAAGGAGCTGGTTCCCATTGCGGCCCAGGTAGACAAGGAGCATCGCTTCCCTACCGCCCAGGTGAGAGTTCCAACCGCAGCAGCCCCCTAGGGTGGTCTGCCTGCTGCTGCTGGGTTGGCGGTGACCGTCACCGCTAAAGGCCCTGAGACTCCCAGCCAGGAATCCTAAGGTGGGTCCTGGAACCCAGAAGGTGTTCTGGAGGTTTCCTTCATCCAGCACGAGGCCCATAGCCCGGGCTTAAATTTCCACGATAACAATAATAAGGGTGGCTGGGTGTCGTACTTACCTGAGCCAGGCATCGTGCTGGTGGCCATGGTTAAGCTTACAAGCTGCTTGCCCTCTAAGGAGTTCCAGAGTTTTCTGGTTGCCATTTCATGTCTCCTGGGCTCTGGGGCCACTTTTCCAGCTTAGAAAATACTGCGTGGTTTCACAGCGTCTTGGGGACTTGTGCCGGGAGTGTGGCGACACGCGGGGAGCTCGGAGTGAGGTGGGCAGATGGTGCTCTGGGCACTGACACTGGCTGGTAACTTCCGGGTGTGGAACACTTATCCCCACGCATCATCCTGGCTAGTCCTGAGGATGTCCTCACCTGCACATCTGATCCCCATGCACATCCCAAGCCTGGCTGGTTCCAGAACCATCTTCTCCATCCACTCTCCACGTGGTTGGCCCAGCAGCCCGGCTGGTGGGCAGGCAAGGCAAGGCCTCTTCTAGTTGGGAATTTTCCCGTCAAGGGCCTAAATTGCCCTTCTGCCCTCCGTGACCCCACCTGGCACGTTCCCATCATCGTTCAGTGCATTAAGGGAGATGTGACCAAACTCGGTCTCTTTGTGAGCAGAGGATGGGACTGAGCAGAGCGGCCATGGAAAAGCAGGATGAGTTTTGAGATGTTGCCCCTGGAGCAGTTGCCTGAGACATGGCTGTGTGTTGGGGCTTCTCCTACCAAAAAACAGATGGCTTGACTCACTTTTCCTGTGCTATTCCTGTGTTCCCTGAAATTCTTACTCAGATGACAGATGTAGATTTGCTCTGGACAGGAACGCTGGCAGTAGAAACAGATGTCTTCCCCCAAGCTCCTTTGAACTGGTCCTTTGGCTTTATATTCTCCTCTGGGCTTCCTGAGGCTTGGGAACTTGCAGGCTACCCCTCGGAGCCATGGCAGACACAGGTGTGGAGGGCGAAGGCTGTGGCGACAGCCCTCCACCCCCTCTTCGCGTGGGATGGGATTGCTCCTCTGGCTTTGCTTTCCCATTTGCTTAGGCGGCTCCTGTTTGAATTGCCTGGGCTGTAGACCTAGGGAGGAGTTGTGCCTCATCTTCTGAGCTTGTCACCACCCCTCACCAGCCCGACTCTTATCTCAGTGGCTGATGGGATCCAGAGGTTAATCCTCGTCCCTTCCCACAGACTGAAGCCTGCTGGGTTTGCGCTTTTATCCCGGCCTCCGTTCCTCCTTTGTAGGAGCTCAGCCCCCAGGCGCAGAAGGGAGTCCAGGGCTCGGCTGGCAGAGGGGTCAGAGAACTCGACACCAGCTAATGTGGCAGGTCGCCAAACTCAATAATAAGACCACCTAAGTTTCCCAGTGCAGCGGTTATAAGAACAGGACTGGCTGTCATTTGGGGGCTGCTGTATTCTGGGTGCTCGAATGTCCCGTCTTTAGCACTACACGCGGGGGAGGTTAGAGTGTCTTCTGTGTTTAGATGAAGAAACTGAAGCTAGAGGTTAAGTTTCTTGTGCAACAGCCACCTGGGTGGCCTGCCTGGCCTAGAGTAGGTGCTTGGTTAGTGATTTCTAGTATTTTTCCCTGAAGAATTTTTTTTTTTTAAGATTTTATTTATTTATTTGACAGAGATCACAAGTAGGCAGAGAGGCAGGTAGAGAGAGAGAGAGAGGGAAGCAGGATCCCCGCTGAGCAGAGAGCCCGATGGGCTGGATCCCAGGATCCTGAAATCATGACCTGAGCCGAAGGCAGAGGCTTAACCCACTGAATCACCCAGGCGCCCTGTCCCTGAAGAATTTTTTATCTACCCCTTCCTCCCAGAAAAAGTGGGTTTATGAGGGAATATTCAAGGGGAGAAGAATTGAGGGAGGCAGGCCAAGAATTAGGTGGAAGGCTAGTACCAATTTTTGCTTGCTTGGCTGGCTTGGAGACCTCAGTCGAGCTTCAGTTTTTCTGTATTCAAACAAAAAAAAAAAAAAAAAAGAAAAGAAAAGAAAAAAAAGAAGAAAGGAAACTATGGAAAATTTATAATATTATTTTATTATAAAGGGAAATAAGAAATAAAATGGTGTTTCAACTGAGATTGTACTAATTAGCCTTCAGTATGTGGGGGCTGTATATTTATTGTATAAAACTGAGCCCCACGAGGGCTGGCTCAGTTAGTAGAGCATGCGACTCTGGGTCTCAGGGTCATGAGTTCGAGCCCCATCCTGGGTGTGGAGCCTACTTTAAAAAGGAAACAAAACAAAACACTGAGCCACATTTCTTTTTCATTCAGTGACTACTTATTGAATAGCTTTCCTAGACCAGGTGCAATACCTGCTCTTCCTCCTCATGTCCTCTCTCCGGTGATGGTGCTTCCCTGACCCAGTTAGCCACTTAGAAACTTCTAGAACCATACCCCATTTTCTTTTTCCTACCCGCTGAATCTTGTTAACTACTCCCTGGGAATGTGTCCAAATGCCACCTCCCATTTGTCCCAAGCAAATTCATCCGTGTGTGCCCCAGGAGCAGCCCGTTCCTCACCCACGACCCAGTGGCTGTGTGCCCAGCAGGTCGCTGTGTGCTGTTACTGGCACGTCCCTGTCTGCTCATACTGTGCCCTTGGGAAGTGGCCTGCAGTCAACACGGGTTGCTGACTGAACAGGGGGGTGAGGTGGCCCTGTGTGGCGGACTGGCCCAACACGCAGCACGTGCTGGCCACCAGCGGACACTCGAGGCGGCTGCAGATGGGGCTTCTTTCCCTTGAATAAGAGGCAAGTCTCCTGCAAGTGAGGGCACAGGAGTCTCTGAAGGGAGTCAGTTTTGTCTCTGTTGAGCTTATGCAAACTCTGGATAAATTTGATTTTGTGAAGGCGTGAGCGCTAGAGGCACCTTACAGTCGCATTTCTCTGGGAAGTGCCTGCTCAACATTCCCCCGACGGGAAGGACATGCATGTTCTTTCTCTTTCTGCTGCTTTACATCTAGTCCCCAGTCTCTTTCTGTTTTCAATGATGTCATCTCTTCCCTGAGATCATGATCTGAGCTGAAATTAAGAGCTGGGTGCCTAACCGACCGAGCCACCCAGGCGCCCCTGGTGCCTGAGTAGAAAGGTTGGGAAGAGCAGAGCCAGGCATCACTGATGAAACTGGGTGAGGCACTTGCGTCAGGCGCCAGGCCTGGGGTGGGCCGGCTCCCGCCCTCCAGCGAGCTGGAGCTGGAGGCTTTTCAGGCAAACCCTGGTGGCATATAGCAGGGGCAGAATGGACCTGGGTGACCCATGAGGGGTGTGACTGGTCAGGGTGCAGTGAGCTCTCACTGTGATCTGTCAGGAGAGCCTTGGGGGGGGGCGCGGTCAAGGGGAGAGGGTCCCGAGCTCTGGCTTCCTTGTATCCTGGAGGTGTCACCTCTCTGCGGGAGCTCCCTGCACCCCACCTGTGGATTTCAGTTCCCTTTTTGTTTCTTGGGGGAAAGTGGAGTTGTGGCATGTGGCATGAGTCCGTCCTTTACACCAGAGCTGTACCCAGAAGGGCTTTGGGATGAAGAGGAGCTTGGGTAGCACCACTAGCGTGGGACAGTTTGGCCGGGAGGCCAGAGACAGCCTTCCAGTGGTGCCTGGCGAGGCCGGCGTGTGCTCCCAGCCCAGGTGCAGTGTGGCCCAGGTTCCTGACCCTGCAGCGCCTTCCCTGAGGAGGTGCTTTGTCTCCCTGGCCTGGGTTTGTGGGCTGCCTTGAAGGGTGGGTCTGACCATTTTTCTTTTGAGGCCATGCTCCTGCTGGCACCAGGCCGTGTGAGCACCCCCACGTGGACTGAGATAGGGTGCTGTGTAGACCACTCGAATTTCGGCTCCCCTGCCGGCCGGGGTGCTTTCTGCCTGCGCTGCCATGTCTCTGAGCAGGCCCACCCTCCCCGCCTGCAGCTGTGGTCACCACGGAGCGTTTGGCTTTTTAGAGATCCTCAGAATGACACATCTGGGGTACCGCTGAGTCCCCCGCCTTTGTTCTTTAAGAGAGAGCGTGAGTGGTAGGGACCGGTGGTGGGGTCCAGTTTGGGGGGAGAATCTTAAGCAGCCTCCCTGCCCAGCACGGGGCCCAACGCAGGGCTTGATCCCATGACCCTGAGATCGTGACCTGAGGTGAAACCAAGAGTCTGATGCTTCACCAACTGAGTCACTCAGGTGTCCCACCTGAGCCAGTGTCTGTCAGTTTCCTCTTGCTGTTGTGACAAATGACCACAGACTAGAGATTAGTGGCCCAAAACACTAGCATATTATCCAACACTTCCTGGAGGCTGGAAATCCAGAGTGGGTCTTGATGAGCCGAAATTAGCCTGCTGGCGGCCCTGGAGAAGGTCCATGCCTTGCCCCTTCCAGCGCGTGGAGGCCTGCGGTGCTACCAGCCCGTGACCCCCTTCCAGCCAGCACTCTGGTCACTCTGAGCCCTGCTTCCATTGTCACCTCTCGTTCCCCTTGTCTCCCTCTTCCCCTCATAAGGACCCTTGAGATGACCCTGGGTCCCCTTGGATAATCCACAATCTTTAACTTAATCTCCCTGGTAGAGGTACCCGGATCTGCCCTCTTGTGGCCGCAGGGCGCCATGGCATTTGCGGGCTTGGCGGGTCAGTGGCTGCTCCACCCCCTTCCCCCTCAGACGCTAAGGGTAAGAATTTAAGAATTTCGCAGAGGGGCCTGCACACCATGATGGACGTGCTCCTTGTCCCAGTCAGTGTCTTCCCGGCGAGCCCTGGTCAGCCGCTTCCTGACAGTGCGCGCACTCACCGACCGCCCCACTGCGCCGGGCTCCAGTCTCCGCACGGCCCGAATTTTCTCCGTCCTTCAGAAGTGCCCTGTCGCAGCTGCTCTGCCGAAGGGGTGCGACACCTATAATCACGGACGTACTATTAATTATAGAAAACTGAAAAAATATTGTGAACATTCTTATGTTAGTTTCTTTTAAGTCAACTTGTGTAAGAACACGGTTCCAGGGGGCGCCTGGGTGGCTCAGTGGGTTAAGCCCAGGGATCCTGGGTTGGAGCCCAGCATCAGGCTCTCTGCTCAGTGGGGAGCCTGCTTCCCCCCCCTTTCTGCCTGCCTCTCTGCCTACTTGTTATCTCTCTCTCTGTCTGTCCAATAAATAAAATCTTAAAAACAAACAAACACGGTGGCAGCAATCCACTGACAGCGAGGGGCTCATGGAGAGCTGTGGCACCCTTCTCCCCCTGCCCCCTGCTGCTCCCCACAGGCACCTGGTTTTAGTTGCTTCTTTGTGAAGCTCAGGAGGTTCTGGGTGGTCCCTGTTGGCCCCCCAGAAGGCAAACTGTCCCAGGTCGGAGGGACTGAGCTGGTTGTGACCCCAGAGTCACTGCCTGGGCTGCAGCATCATTCATAGGCTCTGGCCCCGAGCAGGTTGCTCCGTGTGTCTGGGCTCTGGAGAGACTCAGATGCAGAGCTGGGCGCACAGTAGACACTTGCTGGCTGGCCGTTACTATTACTGTGGTTCCATATCAGAGACTCCAAGCTTTTAGCATTCATTCACTCAGTCATGGGCATTGCGAGTATCGCAGCAAGCAAAAACCAGTCTCTGCCCTCATGGTCGGGGAGAAGAATCTTGACCAAACCAGGCAGGGTGATAGGTATGAACTTCCAGTCGCATAAGCCCCGCTCTGGAAAGGCACAGGTTCTGAGAGAGTGCCTGGTTAGGGGACACAGCAGCTGCAAGAAGTGAGGCTTGAGCCGAGATCTGGAGGGAAGGAGACCACAACAACTAGTTGATAAAGGGCATTACTGACAGGAAACAGCACGTGTAAAGGCCCTGTTTAAAGGGCCTTTTTTAAAGGGAGGCAGGAGTATGTGTGTAGAGCTGAGTAAAGGTGTATATGACATTGTGCTGTCCTGCTCCTTACCCTGGGGGCCCCTGAAGTTTTCCTGTGCCTTCTGCCTGCTTGCTGGCTGTGGCTGTGGACACAGGTGAGCCAGTGCAGAGTGTGGCGCCAGAACGGCTTGGATACCCAGTGCATCATGCAGACCTGAGCTGAGGCTGGGCTTCAGCGTCTGGACCCGAGGATAAGGGTGTGGGCGGATGGGGCCACATGGCCTGAGTTTCTGCAGGCACTGGCTCAGGAGCAGGAGGGTTTGGACTTGGGAGGGGTGGGCACTGGCCCCCAACTGCCCTTGCCATGACATCCTTGTGGCCAGGTGAAGAAGATGGGCGAGCTGGGGCTTCTGGCCATGGATGTGCCTGAGGAGTTCAGTGGTGCCGGCCTCGATTACCTGGCCTATGCCATTGCCATGGAGGAGATCAGCCGGGGCTGTGCCTCGACAGGAGTCATCATGAGCGTCAACAACGTGAGTCCCCACTCCTGGGTCCTGGGACGCACAGGTGGAAGGGAGGCTCCCAGGGGCAGGTGGGCACTCGGGCCATGTGTCCCGGTGTCCTGGGCTCGGCCAGGCTCTGGCACCCAGCCCCCGACCTCTCTGGGCTCAGTTCTTTCAGGTCGGGCCCCGGAGAGAACAGGTCTTGGAGTGGGGTCCGCAGGCCCCCTCTGACCAGCCACCCACCCTTCCTCCCACCCCCACAGTCCCTCTACTTGGGGCCTATCCTGAAGTTTGGCTCCAAGGAGCAGAAGCAGCAGTGGATCACCCCTTTTACCAGTGGCGACAAAATTGGCTGCTTTGCACTGAGTGAACCAGGTACCATGTGTAACCGTGGTTGGTCCCCGTCCCCTGGCACAGAATCAAAGTGACAGACTGGGTTGGAGCTGGGGCAGAGGCAGGAGCCGGGCCATGTGACACGAGGGCACAGGCCCTTGGTGGGGGTGGTGGCGCCCAGGATCACGTGGTTACCTCAAGACTCTGGGATCCCTTGGGTGTGAAGATGCCCCACTGTGCATCTCATCCCCCCCCCCCCCGCCCCCTGCCATTGTACTAGTCTCTGAGAGCTCTGGCAGCTGGTGTGGCCCAGGAGCTCGCTCTTGGGAGCCATATTCCTTGGAGGCCAGGTCAGAAGGTCTTTGTGCTGTAGTTGGGGGCGAGGGGGGGGTCCTCTGCTCGCGGTGGCAGTGCCCTTTGGGAGCAGAAGCAGTGGATTCTGAATCTGGGTCTGGGGCAGGGAATGGCAGCGACGCAGGAGCCGCCTCCACCACTGCCCGAGCAGACGGGGACTCGTGGGTCCTGAACGGCACCAAGGCCTGGATCACCAATTCCTGGGAGGCCTCCGCCGCCGTGGTCTTCGCCAGCACAGACAGATCCTTGCAGAACAAGGTGGGGTCCCTGGGGAGAGGGTCGGTGAGACTTCTGGGCTGTAGACGTTTCGAAGCTTCTCGATGTGAATCCCACCGTGGCTCAGGGGAGCTGTTCCTGCTCTCACACCCCTTGGGGCTGCCCCTTTCCCTCTAGCCTGCTGGTGGCCTGAGGCCCATCTGTACCTTCCCCCAGGCAGCCAGCAGAGGATGCCCTCGGCTGAGGGCTGAACTCTGAGGGAGGTGGCGGGAAGGGTCTAGTTTGTGTCTGGTGCCCTTGAGTAAGGGGCGTGACCGAGGCTGGTCTCTGATAACATCACTGCCCATGTCTGGGCCTTTTAGGGCATCAGTGCCTTCCTGGTTCCCATGCCGACACCTGGGCTCACACTGGGGAAGAAGGAGGACAAGCTGGGCATCCGGGCCTCATCCACGGCCAACCTCATCTTTGAGGACTGTCGCATCCCTAAGGACAGCCTGCTGGGCGAGCCTGGGATGGGCTTCAAGATAGCCATGGTGAGCCTGGCAGTGGGGCCCGGGCCCTGGGGCCCAGCTGGCCAGCCACTGACCGGGGCCTTCTGCACAGCAAACCCTGGATATGGGGCGCATTGGCATCGCCTCTCAGGCCCTGGGCATCGCCCAGGCTGCCCTTGATTGTGCCGTGAACTACGCTGAGAACCGCAGGGCCTTTGGGGCACCCCTCACCAAGCTCCAAGGCATCCAGGTAACAAGGGGAGCCTCGTGCGGATGCTGGAAGGGGGACAGCTCGCCCTTTCCTCTCTGGATCTCCTGGGTTCTCCATCCTCTTCCCTCCTCTCCTGGGAGGGAGAGACAGCCACTGACTGCCACGGGGGTTTGGGGCATTGCAGTTCAAGTTGGCGGACATGGCCCTGGCCCTGGAGAGCGCCCGGCTGCTGACCTGGCGTGCTGCCATGCTGAAGGATAATAAGAAGCCTTTCACCAAGGTGCCTGTGGGGAAGAGGTCTCCCCAGGTGCAGGCGGGAGCTTTGGTGTGTGGAGGGGGAAGTGTGGCTGGGGTTCCAGTTCCTTGGGCCTGTGGGTTTATTCCCGTGGGGGAGGCCCTGCGGTAGGGCCATGTGCTGGCAGCTCCTCCCGGAAATGACGTTTCTGACCCCACCATCCCCTGTGCTTAGGAAGCGGCCATGGCCAAGCTGGCTGCGTCAGAAGCGGCAACTGCCATCAGCCACCAGGTGAGCGTCCTGGTGCTCGAAGGGGCCGTGAAGGGAGCCCCCAGGGTTGAGTGGTAGGAAGTGGGCCAGCGGCCCCTCCCCTGCTGGTCCCCCGTGTGGCCGATCTTGCCCCTGACTCCCCCCTGTTCCCGGTAGGCCATCCAGATCCTGGGAGGCATGGGCTACGTGACAGAAATGCCAGCGGAGCGCCACTACCGCGATGCGCGCATCACAGAGATTTACGAAGGCACCAGCGAGATCCAGAGGCTGGTGATCGCGGGGCACGTGCTCAGAGCCTACCGGAGCTGAGCTTCGATGCAGGGCCCAGGGGTGCCCCGCTCAGGGGCCAGGCCGGCCTGTGGACCACCTCGAAGGAGGCAGGAGCCACGAGGCCTTAACCCTGATGCTCGGTCTGGGACCCTGTGTGCCTCTTCTTGCCAGGACCACCCAGCTCCTCACCTCCCCCCACCCCAGACCTAACCGCCTGGGGCCGAGTCTTCGAGAAAGGAAAGGTGATGGGCCCCATCTTCAGCTCAGGTTTTTGACATTGCTTCCTCTTCACACCTGTGCCTTGTTGTCTTCAAGTGGATCTGGCCTCTGGAGGCAGGGCCTAGGGAAGGACCCCCATTTCCTTTCTCAGCAGGAGACCCAGGTGGGACAGCCTCTTGGCTGCCCCTGTTCTTTCCCTGAGCTTAGGGGTCAGGAGGAGGATTGTGGGAGGGGGCTGCAGAATGCCCGGGCGTTTTGGGAAGGCTGGTGGTCCCATGCAAAGCACCTGGAACCCAATAGCTGGTTCTTCATAAATTATCAATGAGTAGGAGCGGTCTGAATTTCTTGAGGACAATCGATTGTGGAAACTAAGTAATAAAGTGTACCTGTGCTCTGGTCCTCGTGTCCTTGCCTGGGCGCTGCTGGGGAGGGGACGTGGTTTGATAGTGTGTTCCCTGACCGCTGCCGCCTGTGTGTGCGTGTGTGTGTGCGCGCGTGCAAGCAAGGCTGACTGCAGGGACATCCCTCTGGAAGGAGAGCTCCAGCACCAGTACCTTCCTGCAGGAAAGTACAGAGTTGGGTCCTCCGGCTGGGGTGAGGGTCTAGGACAGTGACTGCTGCACACGGATGGCAGGTGGGTCCAACCCCTGAGCAGCAGGGAGGGAGGGTGTGTCACAGCTGCAGAGGGCTCCGGGGGACTGGGAAAAGCGGTACGGGCCTTCAAGCCCGGCTGTGGAACCGTGGACATGGGGCCTCCACAGCCTTCGCAGATGACAGGGGCCTGATGCCCCTAGAGCCGGAGCCCAATTTTAGCGACTACCACCTAATGCGGTGAGGCAGCCGGAAGGGAAACCCAGCAAGACAGACTTCAAGAGAGTGGGGGTCAGCCCTCCGCAGGGCGGGGAAGCGGGCCTGTCGTCGCGGTGAGGTCTCGGAGACGGGGACAGAGACATGACCCATTCGGAGCCCCCATCGCGTGGGCCCCGAACATCCCGGACGCTCTTGGCGGAGGATGTCGCGGGGAGCCGCGCGCCGGCCCTGGGGCCCTGCCCTTGACCCCGGCCCCGGGCGGCCCGAGGCGCGCGGCGCGGGGCTTGGAGGTGGGGTCTCCCCTGCTCGGCTGGGCGGTGCCCTCGTGCGGCCCGCCCCGCAGCAGGTGCGGCGTCCTGCCAACAAGACGCGCCGGCGGCCGCTTGCGGCTTCAGAGCGCGCGCTCCAGCTCGGGCCGGCCCGCGGACGTCCGGGTGACCTGCGCCTTCTCCTGCAACAGGTGAGCGCCCCGAGGGGCTGACTCCCAGCTCACACCCTCCGCGGGGACCCGCCGCTGTCGCCGCCCTGGGCTCAGGTGCAAGCCGAAGGTGCGGGGCGGGATTCGGGGCTTCTCCCCAGGAGGGGCCAAGTTTGACCTACGCCACCTGGAAGGCAGATGAACACCCGCCCCTGAGCCACTGACCCCACGAGCTGCCGGGCGGGGGCGTTCGGGTGTCTCTGTGACCCCTTTCTCCACGTAGCACGGGCTCCCAGGCAGGTGGTTCGTGGGGCCTGGGCCGTCCGTCCGGGTGGGGGTGGGGCGCGGGTGATGTGGCGGCTCAGAGGCGAGCAGAGGGAGCGCACCCCGAGCCAGGTAGCGGAGCTGGAAACCCAGCCCTCCCGCTCGGGCTTCAGGCCCACCCGCCCCGCCTACGAACCCTGCCCCTGCTAAGGCGAAGGGCTGGGCGCCAAGGAACCGGCTTGCTTTCCAAGTCGCCGCTGGGGATCTGCTCCCCCGAAGTGTCCCGCCCGGCGCTGGTCCCCGGGCGCCGAGCCAGCGTCCAGCCCGCACTCTGGTGCCTCCAGGAGCTGTCGCGGGGCAGGGGCGCCGACTCCCAGAGCCTTGGCTTTGGCGCGGAGCAGCCTCCGTTCGTGGAAGCCCCTCAGCGTAGGACCAAAGGCTGACCTCCGCCCCTGGGTCCGTCTGCGGCTGAACCGCTGCAGCAGGCCTCAGACCTCCCGTCCCTTTGTGCCCAGTGTCCCGTGTGTGTTTTCTAAGGCCCGGGACGTTCGCTTTCACCACGCCGGGCCATTCACCTCGGGGGGGTCCAGCTGCCGTCGCCTGCACACTTGTCCGTTGGCACGAGGTCTTTCTCGGTTTTGTTTTTCAGGGTCGGGGGGGTCCCTTGTTGCAGCGAGAGGTCTCTTGTCCCCTTCACTCCAGAGCAGGCTCCCAGACTGCATCTGTTGGTCAGACACGGGCGTGTTGGAAGTGTCCTGGCCGGTCGGGTCCCAGGCTGCGCCTCGTTCTGGTGGTTTCTCCAGGACTGGCTGTGGCTTCGTGGTCGTGTTTTTGGCCTTGAGAACGTGGGGGAGTCCGGTTTCACTGCTGACTTCCATTGTTAGTTCCGTTACCCTTTTCCAAATAAATGCGAGGTTTCTCAGTGTTTGCAGTCTTTCTAAAGAAACGGCCTTTGGCTTTACTGACTTTGGGTATTGTGGTTCTAAGTTTTATCTTGTTTGATACTTTGTTTCCTTCTATTTTTGGGTTTCATATGTTGTGCTTTTTCCAGCTTCCTGGGCTGAATGTTCATGGATTTTTCAGTCTTTTTTCTAATAAATGAATTTAAAGTCCTACATTTCTCTCTAGGAACGGCCTTAGCTTAACTTCCAAAACCTCGACATATCGTATTTTCATTCTTTCGGTATTCTTCTCTTTTGACTTATCAGTTACTGAGAGGAGTATTATTAACATGGGATTTTCCTTGGTATTTTTTGTTACTGATTTAAAAAAAAATTGTGGTAAAATACACATAATGTAAAATTTACCATTTTTCTTCAAAAATGTACAATTCAGTGGCATTTAGCACATGTATAGTGTGTGTAACCATCCACACTGTCTTGTTCCAGAACACTCTTGTCACCCCAAAAGAAAACTCTATACCCATTGTTAATGATTTTTACCTTAAGTGCATTGTGATCTTAGAACATTTCCTGATTATCTAAATTCTTTGAAATGTATTGGAATTTACTTCATGGTCCCTAAGTCACTTTTTTGTAAAAAACCAAGTATCGTTTAAGAGATTCTTTTTGATGTGATGAGCACAGGGTGTTATATGCAACTAATGAACCATTGAACACTACGCCAAAACCCAATGATGTACTATATGTTGGCTAATTGCATTTAAATAAAAAGCAAAAACAAAAACAAAAAACGCAATACTAAAAAAAAGCTTCTATCTTCAGAAAAAAAAATTCTTTTTCCACTTTGATACATCAGTTTGTTTATTTTGATTGCTGCATTGTATAAAATATACTTAGAAAGTTTCCAGCTTTTCACTGACACAAACCATGGTGCAGAGAACATTCTGGAATGTGTCTCCTTGGTCACAGGAGACAATTTTTGAGTATGTAAGTAGAAGTGGTCTTTGCTGATCTTTGGGCTGTTTATTTCTTTAGCTTCACCAGATATCGCCAAGCCGCCTTCCGCAGCAGCCGGGTCAGCTCGCCCCTTCCAGCGGCACAGGAGCACAACCCTCCCTCGGTACCACTGACTTCACGCTGCTGCTTCCACCTGACTGTGATTTTAACTCGCATTTCTTTGGTTGTTCTTGCACATCTTTTTCACATGTTTACTGGCCATTGTGGTTTCTGCTGGGAAAGGGCGTTCTCCTCCTTTGTCCGCTCCTTCCCTGGTTGATTCGGAATTGTCTCACGGGTTGTATTTCAGACGCTAATCATTTGTCAGCTGTCTAGTTGCACAAAGTCTCCTATAGTGTGTGGCTTCCACTTTTTAAAATGGTTTTGCAGGGACACCTGGGTGGCTCAGTCAGTTACGTGTCCGACTCTTGATTTCGGCTCAGGTCATGATCCCAGGGCTGTGGGATCCAGTCTGCCCTTGCCAGAGAGTCTGTGTGAGGGTCTCTCCCTCTCCCTCCACCCCTCCCACAAGCTGCACTAAATAAATAAATAAATAAATAAATAAATAAATAAATAAATACTTTAAAAAATGGTTTTGAATTTTATTTTTTTAAAGATTTTTATTTATTTATTTGACAGAGAGAGTGAGAGCACAAGTAGGCAGAGAGAGAGGGAGAAGCAGTCTCCTGCCGAGCAGAGAGCCCAATGCGCAGTTTGATTCCAGGACCCTGAGACAAAGGCAGAGGCTTAACCCACTGAGCCACCCAGGCACCTCTGGTTTTGCATTTTAATATTTCCTCTTTAACTTTAAAAAGTTGTTCTAGAAGTTTTGTCTGTCCTCTGCAAACATTTCAAATACACGTTTTGCGGTAAAAAGTGACAGTCCCTTCTGGGGCTGCATCCTTCCAGAACTTTTCCCGTGAATCTACCGACATCTCATTTATGTGTCCCGGCCCTTACTCCCCAGTGAGATGAGTCCTCCATGCATTATTTAGTTTTACTCACTTCATATTTCTTCACGCCAATACATTTGAACCATTTGTTCTCTGTAACCGATTTGAGACATTCCGTTGTGTGGTTCGACATCCAGTTCTGCCCAGTTGCTCTCCTCTTCCACGCCTCCAGCGCCTCGCGTCTTCCCAACGGTAGAGATCACCAGGCATCTGGGGCTCGTGGCCGGCTCAGTCAGAGGAGGGTGCGACTCAGCACTGGGGTCATGAGTTTGAGCCCCGTGATGGGCAGAGAGATTACTTAAATAAATAAACTTAAAAAAAAAATGACCAGGCATCTAATTTATGCCAATATGGCAGTTGAAAACTGTGACTTTAGTTTTCAAGGGAGTTTGAGCGTATTTTCAAATGTTCATGGGTTATTTTCCTATTGTTTGTGAATTTCTTTTTCATGTCCTGGATCTGTTCTTCCTTCCTATCTTTCTCTTGTTTGTTATCTTATGGTCTAGATGGGAAGAGTCCTTGCTGGTTTTAGACACTGAGGACTTCCATGACGCCTCTGTTAGCTTCGCTCCGAAGGCAGCCCATCGCATTTTTTTTTCTAAAGATTTTATTTATTTATTTGACAGAGATCACAAGTAGTCAGAGAGGCAGGCAGAGAGAGAGGGGGAAGCAGGCTCTTCAAGGAGCAGAGAGCCCGACGTGGGGCTCGATCCCAGGACCCTGGGATCATGACCTGAGCCGAAGGCAGAGGCTTTAACCCACTGGGCCCCAAGGGGCCCCATGCCTGTCACAATGTTAAGCAGCTTCCCCCCACTCCTTCCGACCTCCCAGCCCCAGAGCCCCTGGCAGCAACCAGTCTGTACAGTTACCTTTTCTGGATATTTTCTACAAATGCAATCACATGAACATGGCCTTTTATGTCCATTTATGTTAGATCATGTGTCAGCATTTCATTCCTTTTTATGGCCAAATAATCTCTCCTATTTATCCATTTGGGTCATTTCTTTTTTTTTTGTTTTGGTTCTTACAAATAATGCTGCTGTGGACATTTTT